ATGGCCTCCAACATCCCCCAACCTGCTAGCGAGGGCCTCCAACCTAGAAACACGAAGATGACTCTCTCCGTTCTCCTTTTGTGGCATTCCTTTCTCAGGTCTTCACATGCCAAACGTGCAAGAGCTGGATGAGCGGCAAGGGGTCCTCTAGGGGTCCCAAATCGGGAAGATATTGGCCTCGGGCAGTTGGGGCTCGAGCCTTCTCTGAGGAAATGGAAAGTGCAGGATCTGATTCCAAAAATATTGGATTGGACTAAAGCAAGAGAGAAATACATGGAAAATTTTGTGTATAGTCAATTCCCCCCTTGGTGAAGTCCAAAACTAATGCATTATCAGAATTACAAAATCAAATTTATGCTTCAATGGTGAAGTCAAAAAATTGATCGACCTACGAAAAAATGCAGACTGATTGAAATTCCTGAGAGCTTCGGCGTACCAGCTGTCGTACCACGAGGTTGGACCTCAGAGCAACCCACGCCTCCCGTGTCCACATCGAAATGGCTCATTCTGTACCCTAATCCTTGTCCTAGAGGGATATAATTTGATGATATTTGAATACCTGTGACTTGTATTCGCTAGATTGGTCCTTCCCAATGCATTCTTCTCAATTCCTTAATCACATATTTCATCATATTTCTGTCGCATGGCATGGCATGGCTGACTTGAAGCACGTCCATGGCCACCCCCTCAGGCTTCAGCGTCACCTGCCGACTGCTGAAGCGCTCGCCAGTGACCTTTTTGGGTGGAAGAAAATCAGGACCCAAGAAAACTGTTATGCCACCTGTATCATGTCCTTACCGTACCCCGCCCGTTTGTTTCCAGGATTAACTGCGCCACTTGCAAATGGCAACTGCACAAACAGCTCCAATCTGAATCTCTGCTCACAGCACAACATCCAGGTACTCACAGTTGTGGGCAGTGACTGGCAGCCACCCTCTGGGAGTGCCAACAAGTATCATGTGACTTGGAACTGAGTCTTCTTTCTGCCCTTCCCAACATTCGTACAAGTAGGCTGAGCATTGATAACGAGCTGCTGGGGACTTGGGCAAGCCATGTCCGCGTGTCATGTGCTTCTCTAACGCTCGGCGCTCATAGGTCCAGCCATCTGCAGCTAGGACCGGATCCCTTGGAGCTGCAAAAGCAGGAAAAACAAAGAACTTCTTTAACTGCCATGTTTTGAAGGACTAAAGCGGAATTGAAACATGTTGATGGAAAAGGCAAAACGAAGAGGAATAGGCATCAGACCTCATGATAGCTCGATTGATGGGACACACCAGCGAAGGCAGCAGACCCCACACCACCAAGCGCTTGGAATTGGAATCAGACTGCGTGCCATCGGCGAGCCAACCTGGCGACGGTGCGGAGAAGCGGAGAATGTTCGGACTTTTCAGCAAAAAGCAGGGAGAAAATGTTAAAAAGTATATCAATTTTCTTTTGAGATACTAATAGCGATGGCCTCCAACCTAATGGCCATGGTCTCCAACCTAGTAGCGATGGCCTCCAACCTAATAGCGATGGCCTCCAACCTAGCTTGAAGAAGATTTGTTGAAACCACTTTGATCTGGTTTGATGTTGGTTGCACAGTGTCCCTTTTGGTCAGAACTTTGCGTTACAGTGGGCAGTTCTCTGTGCCAATCCAGACAGCAATTCTCAGTGGCTGGTTTGCGGTCCTTCATGGTGAATTGCACATCTGGCTGCTTTTGTGATGTGTGAATTAAATGAACACAATGGAGTCATCGATGAATGAATCATCCTCCAAGCACGCTTTCTTTGCTGCAGCAATTACCCTTTAAAAAGCCGATGATGAACCAATGAAATGGTTCAATGGGCTGGCCATTCTTGCCTGGCGAGTTCGCGTGGCTCTCTGCGCAGCGACTTGCTGTAAGCTCTGCATGGAGCCGCCGGCAGCAGGAGCGCAATTCCGCCAAGTCCTGAGGCATGGGGCCTGAATGTTTGAAGGCGGGTCATGAGGAGCCTTCAGACCTGCTTGGTCACATGTTGAAAGGGTAGAGCTGAAGTATTTACAATATGTCCACACACTTGTTAAACGTAGTAATACTTGTTGCAGCCTTCATCTGCGCAATTGTCCTGGCGTGCTTCGTCTAATAGCCTCTTCAGCTCTTGTGCCTTGCAAGAGGTCCAGCCAACTCCATTTTCCAAGATTCTTTCACTACGATGGACCGTCCGTGCCTTCTAGCCTTGCACCAAAACAATGCAAAGAACATCAGAGTTGACAGCTCAGACTGGATCCCGCCAAGTTGCATTCTCGGCGACATTCTGGCGAGCCAGGTTTTGAACCAAAGATGCTCGTGCACCAAAGCGCAATGCACTTAAGGACTCACCGGCGTTCTCTGGGTGCATGGAGGCAGTGATCATGACCTTGTGATCTTTCTGAAGAAAAGCATAGAGAACTGGACACATCCACAAATGTCAGAAGAGCTCTGTTTCTTCACTTATACTGTAGCTGTTAGAGGGGCCAAGCAGCTGCAGTTCGAGCATTTCCTCCCAGACAGTTGCGCAGGAGTTGCGTCAACTTCGAATCTCTGTACCTCCGCCAGCTGCTTCAGCTGCTTCAAATCTCCAGTCATCGAGTGACCAGTCCACTTTGGAAGCGTGGCCTTTCTGAGCTTCCAGCGGGATATGCTTCTGCTTGTGAGCAAGCGCCCAGATCACTTGGCCAAGAGCCAACAAGCTTTTGTTGATGTTCTTGGCCTGGCACCGCAACAACCTTTGGGTGAAGCAAGGACCCAAGTCGGCATCTAATATAGAAACATGGTGTAAGTCTGACCAACAATTTGCACACGCCAAACCTAAATGATGTTTTTGAAGAAAGCTGGGTAGTAGAAAAAGGGACGCCAGATGGTTTTAAGAATCAGAACAAAGGTTACCTTAAGTGAAAAAAAAGAAAAAAAAGGAATGTGTAGTGGAATGAGTTGAAATGAGCCACGGTCAAAATTTATCATGGATTTGGTACGTTTGTTATCGTTTTTCAGGTTGTGTATGTTGTTTTGGGGGTACAGTGTATTATCGTTTTTCAGCTGGAACCTGCGTTTTGAGATCCCATGTCCCTGTCTTTACTTGGGAAGTCTTCCGTAAATTTTGACTGCGCCAGAAATGGGTTAAAACATGTCTGCTCCAACCTCCTCCAGCTGCATCCCTTGCACTCCCGTCTTCATGACCCGCTCACTGCCCGCCAGGTCTACCAAGTAGAGCTGTGCAAAGCGCTGTTTGGCTTGGTCCACCTCGCAAAACTCTTTTTTCAAGCCAGTTCTCCACAGCAGCAACACCCAAAAATACTTATAATCCGCGACGCAGAGATAGAAGAAATGCTTTGAATATTTCAAACAGAAGGTGCAATTTTGGTGGTTTCCAAGCAAGGCTTTAAATAGAAGAAAATGCCTTGTGCAAGAGGTGCTTTGTTGATGCTTTTTTGATGCTGTTTGGGCACTCTGAACTCCAATATCTTCTATTTGAACGGTATTTACAGTGAAGTCTTGAAGTGTTGGATGATCTTGTCCAAAATTTAGCCGGGACAAACGGTGCAAGTTAAACCCAAAAATCAGAGGACCTAGTGCACAACCCAAGATGTCCAGAATCCCGGTACAAAACGGTAAAAAACCTCGAGTTTTGTTGCTTTTTCTGAAGGTCAGATCCACAAGACAGCAGAACAACAAGTGAAGGTCAAATAGAAGATATAGCCAAAGCAACCAAGCACATCAAATACAAGAAATGTATATGTGATTATTTTGGTGTTACAAAATAATATGGTAATATCTTCTTTTTGAAACTGAGTGCAAAGCAGCCTTTTCCTGACCCATGAGTCCATCTTCAGAGCTTTGCTCTCACCAGGGTTTCTCCCTCAAAGTTAAGAAGGTCAAACATTCCAATAATTACCCCTAAGATCAGTCCCATTGGGGCCTCGTGAAAGGGACTTTCCCAAATAGGTCATGTTTCTGGATATTCTTGCTGTGTTGTTGTCAATATGTATCTATCCATATATCTATCTATTAATAGATCTATTCATCAATGCTTGCATATTTCCCAGAGATGCCATCTGCAGTGGAGAAACAACGGACCGGCGAGGAAGAAAACAATCTGCGTGGACCAAAAATGAAATCAAATAGAAGATCCAAAACAAACATTTCAAATAGAAGATGTACCTCACCGGACAGATTTCAAATAGAAGATATTAGATATTAGGCTATTTAGTGTTTTTGCAAAGGTAGCTATATAACATGATATATAACACCTCTTTTATGCTCCGGCGAAGCCCTTTTCTTCTATTTGAATGTGTTTTTCGCGCGCACCAGAAGCAGTTTCAAATAGAATATTGAGATTCTGAATATTCGGGAATTTCTTCTATCTCTGCGTCCCGGATTATAAATACAGTAAGTGTATGTATTCGCTGCTCCGTTGCTTTGTCTCATTCCCCACTCCTTTGGGTAAAGTTGCTTCATGAGGGGTTCTAAGAAGGGCCTTGATGTGTGACAATTCCGCGGCCAAGTTGCTCTGTTGGTGACCGTCACGATGAAAACGGCATGGCTTCTAGAGGAGTGCCGGTTCATCTTGGTTTCAGCCTGGAGCAGCGCATGCTTTTGCCTTGCCTCTGTGCTTAGCCCCCAGCCAGTGGCATTTCGTTGAAATTCCTCCAAGCTCTCAAGAGCTCTCCCTGCTTCACATGAGTTCGAGCAGCCTGGTGTCGGTTTTGATTGCCCGTCCGCATCACTTCCAACGCCTCGCATGTCGTTTGGCACAAGGATCGTCGTCTTCTCGTTGTGTTTCGACGGGTGACCCGGTTCGCTCTTTCGTGGGAGCCTCCTGCACGGAGCTCACGGGCGTTTCCGTCACCGTGGGCAAGTAGAGGACATCACCTCTTTCGCCTAATTACATCGAAAAGCACCGAATCGTGCCTTTTTACGAGACCGGGGGTAGGCCGCTAGAGGTAGGTAGCTAGCTAGTAGGGAGAGGTAGCTAGTAGCTTAAGTAGCTACTACTTAGGACGCAGGATAGCTTATGCTAATGATTTGGTTTCTAGATTTTGAGGGAAAGGAGCTAGCCTCATGATGCCAAGTTGCACATGGCTGCGGACTGAAAGCCCTGCTCGCCAACCACAGCGCCACCCCGCAAAGGGGACAACAAATCCTGGATTTTGAACTGCAACGAATTTGGAACTTGGAACCTTCCAAACTTCTGCCGAGGTTCGATCACAGTTTCGTTGTATGTTTCAACCTCAGATGACTCAGATGCAGCATTCGGTCGTTGGTTTAGAGAATTTGAGTAGCCAAGAAACGTAAGAGGCCCGCAACTGTACAAGGCCAGGAGCTGTAGTCTTGGCATGATCAAGGAGCTCCTGGAGGCGTTTGTCTCGCTTCTACAGCTTAGCCTGAATTGATTCTTTCACAATTGATTCTTAGCCTGCAAAGCTCGAGGAATGATGCCCAGACTTTCAAAGTCCATTTCCTCGAGTGGACAAGGGACCGCTTGAAGCAGAGCGAGGGGTCGGCAGTCGCATTTCACCGGTGACACAGCGGGAAGACGACGAGGGTCGCGTTCCACCAAGCTGTTCCTCCGAGTTGCTTTATCTTCCACGAAGGCCTGCGCACCGTATGGGCCAAACCTGATAAAACGGCGTTGAAAAAAATGAAACAAGAGAAGAAGCTAGTAGGAGCAAGAAGCTACTAGTAGCTCCTGGCATTACTACTAGGAGCAAGGATGCTACTAGTAACAAAGGGCATCGCTACTAGGAGCAAGAAGCTATTGATGGCAGGAAGGTCTTGAAGAGCTGTCTTTACCAAAGAATTTCGAGCGGTGCAAGCACTGCAAGCAGGTTACATGGTGTGAGTCTTGCCACTTCCAGTTTGCCCATACGCAATGATGGCACCATTGAAGCCTTGGCCAAGTCAGAGACCATCTGCAAACCAGTCCGGAAATCATACATGAAAAGCGCAAAGTGCGGGATGGTCTATTACGGTCTTTTTGTAGATGTGTTATGATGTGTTTACATATGAATGATTTTGAATGGTGTTCGATTCTCTCAGTGACGAGTTTCGTATCTCTTTCTACCCGCATACATTCATCTTTTTCAGCCAAACAAAGCATATTGCCTGCCAAAGTGGCACAGGCTGGACGTGAGTTGTGGGCTTTTGCAAAGCGGTTTTTGGAGTATGCTGCTCAAACAGTGTCAGTTGTGCAACCTGAATGTTCAGCATACAGTAGTAGTTCACCGGGCGGTCAAGTTGTCCCGTGTTCATTCTGACACATACTGTAAAATGAATGCCTGACGAGAAATGAGACTGGACCGTCTAGCATGTAGACACAGTGCAAACATGGAGTAAGAAAAGGGCAAATCTGAAAGCAAAAAAATAACTCCTGCTGCACTCTTCGGAAAGACCTAATCATTTGTGCAATCAAGAAGCCATTAATCACACCCTCGACGATAGGCTTCGCAATGGTGTGATAAATATCGGCTTGGGACACTTCCGGCTGGAAAATATGGTCATAAGCAAACGGAAATTCATGGATCCCATGCGTCCTCGGAGGTCAAAAAGCAAACATATATATATATATAAGAAACCATAATTGGCCTCCAAGCTAATAGCAATGGCCTCCAACCTAATAGCGATAGCCTCCAACCTAATAACGATAGCCTCCAACCTAATAGCGATGGCCTGCAACCTACTAGCGATGGCCTCCAACCTAATAGCGATGGCCTCCAACCGGATAGCGATGGCCTCCAACCTAATAGCGATAGCCTCCAACCTAATAACGATAGCCTCCAACCTAATAGCGATGGCCTGCAACCTAATAGCGATGGCCTCCAACCTAATTGCGATGGCCTCCAACCAACCTACTAGCGATTGCCTCCAACCTAACAGCGATCGCCTCCAGCCCCAGCCTAATAGCGATAGCCTCCAACCTAATAGCAATGGCCTCCAACCGGATAGCGATGGCCTCCAACCTAACCTAGTAGCGATAGCCTCCAACCTACTAGCGATAGCCTGCAACCTAATCCAACCCAATAGCAATGGCCTCCAACCTAATAGCGATGGCCTCCAACCTCATAGCGGAAGCCTCCAACCTAATGGCGATGGCCTCAACCTAATAGCGATGGCCTCCAACCTAATAGCGGAAGCCTCCAACC